GACAAGAATGTTCCAAAAGCACAACACAATGTGTGGGGCACCATGATGGCCAGGCTGCTTTAGGCTGTATCTTGGTCATGCCTTTTGGAGTGCAAGATTGCTATCAGCAATGGATCTGATTCTCTGCTTTCTGAGGCTCTGAATCCCCCTGCTACCCTTTCCCATCCTATGCCTTCTGAGGCGCTTTCCTGGGGGGGTCTTTACCCCAGTTCCCTCTCCTGTCTCAAGACATCTGGCTACAGGCTCTGGTCAGCACATTAGGTCGCATGTGCTCCCAGTGCAGAGAGAGCAAAAGAGGTTCTCATCTGACAAATATGGAGCTGTGTGACAAAAACTGAATGCTGCTTTTTCCTAAACCCACTTCAGCATGCCACCCAGTTAGGGGAGCAACTAGCCAGCTCTGCCTTAGGCTTGGAGGCCCCAGCAGCAGACAGCATGGCAGGCACTGTGGCCTGTGCCTCCCTCTAGTGGTGGCACAGTCCATGACTCACCTGTAGGCCTGAAGCAGAAAGATCTTGTACACATTGATGCAGACTGTCTGAAGGCTGTTCATCTGGAGTCCCAACAGAAAGAGAACCATCAGCAACATTCCTTGGATCAAAAATGAACATTTTCTGTGTTGTCAGATGGGATAAGAAAGTCACTTGTGTGGGAAATCCAGGAAATCCAGCCAGGCCCCCAGTGTCATCAAGAGGGGAAGAAGCAGGAGGGAGCAGAGGCCAAAGCCTACCACAGTGGCCCCTCCTAGACAGAGAACTCAGCAGCAATGGGCTGAAAGCCCAAGGTCAAGGCCAGGATCCAGGGGGCCTCTCTCTCTGTGGGGACTGATGATGGCATTGGAAAGTGATGAGCAGGCTGGGTGCTCAGGGATCCTCAGTACAAATGCAGATGTCTACATGCTCTTCGCACACAGTTGCACCCATATCACCTACCCATGCACATGCCCCCACACAAAGAACAGGACCTGCACAACAGATGAGGTGGCTGCCCATGGCTTACCTGCAAGTCTAGAAACAGACTGTGACACTTCAACCGCAAAACAGCTAGGAGCTTGTGTCGCATGTTCTTCCCAGCCTTGAAGATGCGCTGGAAGGTGAGGCTGGCCTTAATTGAGGTCCGGGCGTAACTGCAGCACAAAGGTATCCTATCTGTGTGATTCCCACACCAACCCCTCCTCTGAGAGACCAGCACCAACGCCCTTCCACTTCCTGTCCCTCTCTGCCATACACTGAGGGCTTAGATGGGGATGGACCTTCACACATGGAACACATCCCACCCAGCTCTTGGTATATGCTCACAACACCACCCAGAGACCTGGACAACCAAACCCAAACAGATGTAGTGAACAACATCCGTTTTGTCCAGGCTTGGGATCACCAGACATCTTTGCTCATCAGTGGCAAAAAAAGGGCCGTCAAAACTCACAGTTCAGAAAATCACAGAAGGAAATCATACAGGAAATCACTCTTTAAGTGGCTGGAACCTGGCAGAGCGCCTTCCCAGCACAGGGCTGTGAACGGAGCAGAAAATTACCTCCAGCCAGATCTGGGTGGCAGCACACAGTAAGGAAATGCCTACAATGGTATCAAACCACCTGCTGACTGTAGGATGCTTCGGAAATGAAATTCCAAGAACGGGACATGTGCAGGGCAGAAGGTAAGGGGTGGTACCTTCTTGTCACACTCTGCATCATCCTCAAAGATGAATACAGGTGACAGGCACAGTTACCTCTGTTAAGTTTCTTTAAAAGATTTATTTATTTATTTATTTATTTATTTATTTAT